CATGGTAGAGAACATAAAACACACCCAAACATGCATCGCACTTTATTGCTTAGTTGCTATTAGATTAACTCCAATTACTAATGTGACAGCTGAAAATGTGTAAGTTATTGGTTCTGCTCCACTAGCATGAGGCTGTCTGTTTATCCCTGGACTAAAGTAAGCCTTCTTTTTCTTTTTGGGAGTTTCCTACAGGAAGCTTAGAACACCAGTGATTCTAAAATGTGTCTGCCCTTTTTATATAAAAAATGTATTTACATTTTAATAGTTGTAACAAGATGGGAAGAGATTGTTTTCAGGATAAACTCATGTCCCAAAGAGAAAAGCTATGATGTGACTAACATGAGCTGATCAAGGTATCGAAAGCTTGGCAGCCTCCAGTATAAGCCCTGCAATGGGTATTCCCTGGGATATGGAAAAAGTGCTTCCCAGAAATTTGTAATCTAGAAACAGAATACGTCCACTTCCCTTTCCACTTCCTTTCCCAGTGGCTTATCATTGTGTGGCCACATCTGATGGGAGCCTGCTTTTCTTCCCAACCTGATCATCTCAAAGGATGATTATTTTTCCAAGCTGTTATGTTCCGTGAACCAAAGAGTACACAACCATCAGATGCACGAACAGTGAGATCCATTTTCATAATTACTGCTGCATACTTGCTGGAACATTTTTCTTAGAAACTCTATTTTGAGTATTGGCATTAAGAGAAACATTAAGTACATACACTATTATCGAGTTTAATGTGATGGTAAAACCAAGTTCACTTGAGTATGTTACCTAGGAGGTTATATTCTAAAGCTCCACTCTCTTTCCCTAGAGTTTAATGATGATTGCGTAACTGCAAGAGTATCTACCAACTGACAGGCCTTAACTGGCGCCTCTAATCACACAACAGCCAATTCTGGTCTGGAGGGACTGTACTTTCTGTATCCTGTCTCTGGGCCTTTTCATCCATCCCATAGCTTTAACTACCATCCAGAATGTGGTAATTCACAAGTACAGTAGAACCTCCATAGTTGACCACCTCCCTACATTGACCATCTCCTTAAGGTGACCTTTAAAACGCTCAGAGACTGGACATGCACCACATGTACGTCTCAGTACAGTGGACTCTGCATGCTGACCAGTCTGTCACAGTGCCCGGGATGGTCATCTGACAGAGTTCTCCTGCATATACTCTGTAGCTCTGTTTTTCCAATGTTAGACCTGTACTGCTAACTGTCCTGGATATTACCACTTTGATATCTCACAGGTACCTTGAACTCTATGTGTTTAATTCACATAGAGCTTTCCTTCCTACCTTGTAATTACCCCAGTTCAAAATCCAGTCTTTGAAATCCTTCCCTTCTATTCTTATTCCCGACATGAAATCTATTACCAGGTTGCATCAATTTGGCCCCTTAAATATTGCTCAAATCTGTTTCTTCCTATCCTTTGGAGTTGACTAGCTTAGCTTGAGGTCCTCGTTACAGCACTTACTACATAAAATACAAGTTTCGACGAGGTGGTTTTAAGGGGCTTTCTGCAAAGTCAAGGTTCAGACCTATCTCACTCACCTCTGGTCCTCTAGTACCTAAAACACAGTAGGCCCCTAATTCACGTTTGTTAAATCCGTTTTCATTGGATAAGTAAGAGTCTAGAGATCAAAGCATGATGACACCACCACATTCTCTTCCCATTTCTGTACTTTACACTGACAAAGCCCCTATATACACCCAATTTTCACACTCAAACTCCTTAAAACAGATAGAAGAAGCATCATTAGCTCTATTTTGCCAGTAAAGGAACTGAAGCCCCAAGGAGTCAAATGATCTACCCAACACACGGGCTACACAGTCAGTAAGTGGAGGTGCTTCTGTCTCATCCTGACCTCAGTGTTCTGTCCACTACCAGGGAGGTCTGTGTTTTTACAGGGGTCGTACCCTCCCTCTCTGTACAACGGTTCAGAGAGAAGCTGATGAAGATTTGGTGGCAATGATGTTTAGACAGCAAATAGAACTCTGGCCTGTGCGACTTTAATAAGGTTCCTTTGAATTCTGATTCCCTGGGCAGCTGTAAAGCTGCAGAGCTGGTCTCGGAGGTCTCTGCTGTCACCTTGTCTCTCTTCTACACTCAGTGCAGCCCCCCCCCAACCTCCTACCCCCTGCGCTTGCCTGACCAAGCAATTCCTCAAGCTTCATCTGCCATCCAAGGGGCAGCACAAAGCCTTCAAAGCCTTTTCCAACTCTTGTGTCATGTCTAGTGTCTGAAATCTTTGTGTCCTACTGGGAAGTCTTCTTGCCAAAACAGTTAAAACTGACTCTGAGTCTCCAGACCAAATTTCTATTTGGAGGAAATATGGAGGAAAGAGGAAGAAGCTGCCTGACTGCAGAAATAGAGAAATCCAGAAGGTGGGACAGTTTACAGGACAGCTCATCCTCCTGGAAGGAGCTTAACCAGGACAACTAATTGGATCTTACAAGCTACTGGCAGGGGAATCAGTGACAAAAGGACTTCTCTGGAATTACACACTTGACACCATGTGCACAGGTAAAGACTGTGGATCCTACCTGGATGAACCAACTATAAAAAAATGGGCGAAGAGGACACTATAAGGCAATCTGTGAAACGGTAATTGCCAATACTAAAGAATTATTGTCTATTTGGCTAAATACCAATAGCATTATGATTGCCCAATAAAGTGTCCACAGTTTTTAGAGGCATCCTAAAGTACGCAGTGATGAAATCACGCTGCCTGGGATTTTTTTTTTTAAAATACTTCAAAAAGAACAAAAAAGAAAGAAATGAAACAAATACAACAAATCTTGATAATTATTAAATCTGGGAGGGGCACACGAGAGTTCCTTATACCAGTTAAGATACACTTGAAAATTTTCAGAGTAAAAAATTATATTCTGAATCCTTTCTTCCAAGGGTCCTATTCTACATTAAAGTAGTAATTAGACTTAACAAGTTTTAACCGTTAATAATTTTTGCTAAGGTTCACACTCTATTTATTTTAAGATTCTAGCTTCCAGAAGATTATCAAAGAATGATGGCCCCAGTCGAGATTTCTGGCAACACAATAAATGAACAACACGTTTGAGTTTGGTTTTTGTGAACAATTTCTGCTATTACCTCTGCCACTACTGAGAAAACTTACAAGCTATTTTTAGCCACAGGATCTTGCTTAGATAAGCTGATGACTCAAGCTGCATCTCTAAGTATCATGGCTTACCAAGTCTGGGATTCCCAGTAACTGGGTGGAGCTGCAGAAACAAAGCAGTTCCTCAGTGTTGGGTAAATCTGTAACTTGTGCTCAGCAGAACCCACAGCTACCTACTCCTCAGTAGGAAGATTTCCCAATGCGGCTCGGCACCTGTAGCACAGCGGTTATGGCGCCACCCACATGCACCAAAGTAGATGGGTTCGAACCCAACCTGGGCCAGCTAAACAACGACAACTGCAACAAAAACAACAACAACAACAAAAACAGCCAGGCATTGTGACAGGCTCCTGTGGTCCTAGCTACTTGAGAGGCTGAGACAAGAGAATCACTTAAGCCCAAGAGTCTGAGGTTGCTGTGAACTGTGTCAGGGTGACAGCTTGAGACTGTCTCAAAAAAAAAATTCCCAACGCACAGGCTTTTCTGAGGACGAAACTTAGGCAAATGCCCTAAACTGTCAGTTTACTACTTAAAACGTGCTGTTTCTCAAGCCGGCCTCCCACAGAGTCCACGTTGGATTCTCAGTGATAACAAAGTATTTCCCACAACCCAGGCGGTGCGGGCAAGCCTTTACAGAGCATGAAAAAAGGTGTAAGGCTGGCTTCTTTGGGAGGGCTGAAGAACCTGAAGGAGAACGCAGGGAGAACACCGACACAGAGGACGAGAAGGTTGAGGACGTCACTCTGTATGACAGCTTTTCTTTGTAGAGCTAAGGAAGCAGAGGAGAGCACAAACTGGGAAGAGTCCAATTAAGAGACCAGCTGCCTGTAGGGGCACACGTGGAAGTTTAGGAAGGAAAGGGGACCACAGGATAAACTAATGGGATCCAACATCCGATGGGATGAAGACAGCACTTTAAAAATCCTCAGTGAATTTTTCAGCCCCTTTCCAAAGGTTCTATCAGAAAGAAATGTCTCTTCTGGAAGGAACAAACAGGATAAAGGGATGAGACCCAAAGAGCCTGGCTGTTCCATCAGCACAGGAGCAATGCAAACAAGTGATCTCAAAAACATCATAGTATTTCCTATATTGTCCTGCCAGAATCAAGGCGAGAAATCAGCCTCTTCTACTCCTATTGCATTAAAGAGTTGAAAGTAAACATTTTAACATTGAAAACTTCTGCTAATTATTTTAGGAAATAATTCCAGTGATCTTCCTACTTAAAAATTCTGTCAAGGTAAAGGTCGGGGGGGCGGGGGGGGGAAGAGTGTCACGTGAATCTGACAGAAAGGCAGAGATAATGAAAGGGGAATGAAGTTGATTTTTAAAAAATACCTTGAAGGTACTAGAGAAAATCGATAGGGCAATATGTAACTCCAGAGAACAGTGATCTTATGTGGGTTGGTGAAGGACTACAAGGGGATAGAAATGCTTTCTCTTGCTTGCTTTGCTAGGGATTAATAGAAAGAAGGAAAAGGGGGAAAATGTATCATGTGAAATGGAGCTTTCCCTCTAAGAGAGGGAAAAAGCCTGTACAAGCTTCTGGATATGTGTCAAGGGAACGAATGATATTTTAAAAGTTTGGCCGGAAACCAAAGAGCTACACCCACACACACAGCTTAAGCGCTTCCAACACACTAACTAGACCACGTATTTTCCCAGCTGGGAGGTACTGGCAGGGTTTGAAAATTCTGAGATGGGTGGGGCTGCCTGGCCATACTGCCTGAGAACATTCCCAGATGAAGGTGGAGAGATCTGACTGTACTCTGAAGAAATCTTCACCTGCAGCCTCAGTCAAAGGACCCCGGGCAAGACGAGAAACAAACACAAAGGGAAATTAGAGCGAGGAATAGTTTACCTTGGGAGAACAGTTGAAATGCATACCGGGTACTGGGAGTGTAGTTACATACATTGTAATACACCGATACAGGTACAGCGTGCCAACTATGCAGAAAAATCTTCTGCTAATAATAGACCTAGAAAAAGGGAAAAACAGGGCAGATTCTCAGTCAAGAAATTCCGCAGGTTCATTTACGTTTTCAATGACACAACAAAACAAATCCAAAAAACTGCTTGAGTGTTTGAAACCAGAATGAATACGCAATGAATAGAACTATAGCTGAGAGCAGATTAAGACAAAAATTTGAAGAATAACGTTTTGCTGTGTTCTTTTTAAAAGAAACGTTAACTGGCCCAAAGAGCTTAAACCACTCTACATTGCTACTAACTCGTCTTTACAAGGCCTTGGACTTGAGTTGACACTGAGCTGATGTCTAAGGAGAACCCACTCTTACTGGTCTAAACTCACTCATAGACACTGTTTATTGAATGTAGGCGTAAGAGGCAGGTGGATCTGGTGTGGAGGTAGAGGTGGCAGGTGATGCCAAGGGGTGGGCATCTGGTGGCCAAGGCCATGCCCCCCATCCTCAGGGACGGCATAAGCTCTCTATGACAGGAGCAGCAAGGAGCCAGCCAGAGGAGGGGTGGCCATGCTCCTAGAACCCTGGGCAAGAAGCAGCAGATGAACTTGGCCCAGGGGCCTGGGGTGGGAGGAATGGGGTGAGAGTATTCAGGGGGAAGTGTGGGCAATCACATCTGTAGGGTAGAGACTGTGGTGGTGGCTGCCTGGCCTTGGCACCGGGGAAAACAGCAGAGCAGTCTTTATCTGGCTGTCCCACCCCAGACTGGTTTACATCAGTGGTGCCACACCAGTTGCCAGAGCCTCGGCTGCCTGACATGCTGGAGCCCTCGTCTTCCCAGTGACTGGCCCGGCTGAAGGCCCTGGTGCTCAGGTCCTGTGTGTGTGTGTGTGGGGGGGGGGGGACACCCAGCAGAAACCCACCAGCAGGGTGGTAGACAGCAGTTAAACAATTAAAGAGTCTTTTCTAGCATGAAAGGGAATCTTCCAAAAATGACAATGGCCTTAGAAAAGAAAATTTAAAACTCAGAGGCTACCTAATGAGTCAGAACCATTAAACATTTTACTTCCCCAAACTGATTCTCTAGTACATGATGCCAAGGAAATCACCTATCTGAAAGACAAGCCAACCCCTACCCTACCTGGTCTTGAGAGAGACTATTTACTTCTGAGTCTCAATTTCCTCATTAGTGAAATAGAGATAATAACATCGGAAATAATGCAGAAAGAATCCTTATCATATAGTAGGCACAAACGGTAGTAATCAATTAACTGGATGAGTAAGTAGAGGAATCAAAATGAAAGCAGGAATTAGAAATAGTTTTTATTAGCGGCTCTAATGGAATTATCTGATATATACATATATTGAAATTATGTGATACACACATATATTATAGTGAATATATTGAGTTTGATAACTTTTCCTAATATCAAATTGCATACAATGACCAGGCACAGTAGCTCAGGCCTACAATTCCAGCACTTTGGAAGTCTGAGGTGGGAGGACTGCTTGAGGCCAGGAGTTCAAGCCCAGCCTGGGTAAGATAACAAGAGCTTCTTTGTCTCTACACAAAATTAAAAAATTAGCTAGGCATCATAGCACACACCTGTAGTCCTAGCTGCTTGGGAGGCGGAGGCAGGAGGATCTTTTGAGCCCAGGAATTTGAGTTTACAGTGAACTACAATTGTGCCACTACACTCCAGCCTGGGCACCAGAGTGGGACTCTGTCTCTTAAAACATTCCACATCATTTTGTACAATTTAACCTCATTTACGTAAACCTTAGTGTATCCTTAGACAGGAATGCTCTTCACTCTCTACTGTTCTCCTGTTTTACCCCAGGTCAGAGCACAGTACCTCTTCTTCAACCTTGAAGAATTCAGGTTTTCCTTGATCTGGGGTAACCTGAGTTAATCAAACAAGGAATCTCAGAAACAGTGGATTGCCTTTCCTTTTAAAATACTGAATGTTTAATCACTCCATCCTCATTTAGTGTAGCTCTCTTTGTATGCAGGATGGGAATGCCTACTTTAGTACGGGAAGTCAGAAGAGAGTTTGTCTCATTTCTAGTTCTTAACAAGAAGAACAAAGAGCTATGTCACTTGTGTGATTAAAAATTAATTTTAAAAATCACTCATGCAACAATGTTAGCATTTCATTTGTACCTGAGAAGTCCATGTAAGTTGCTTAGGTTTTATGAGTAGGATCTGGGTGTCTTCCTACCCAGATTTAGGAAACTGGGTCAAATCTAATTTACCACACAAGTCATCTTTCCTTATCTTCTCTTAGTTAAGCTGTGTATGTCACCTTCAAAGATAAGAATTTATCTAGCATACAGCGGTCTTGACAAGGCATATGCCCCTAATTCCAAGTTGACGATAAAAAGCACAAAATAATTAAACCATATGAAGAGGCACAATACTAGAGAAAAATACTGGCCTCTAGGTGTCTTTGCCAAGAATACCAAAGAGAATACCTCAGTGCTTTTTACATCGTAAGGTATAATGGTCAGCTTTCTTAAAAAGAAAATGCCCATTCTGCCATCCTGCTCACACAAAGTATCTGCAACCTCACTTGGACTACCCAGAAACATCTATACCAGCCCCCATCAACAAATATCAGTGACCATATAAAATTCTTTCCCTTAACTATTTGACATTTGATTTGTTTCCCAGAAATGGTAGATTTTTTGCAAGCAAATGAGCTAGGCATCAGGGCAGACTTCCTGATGCCAAGATGACCATCCTCCACAACCTACCCCCAATTTAAGTGGCTCCTTATGAGATATATCATGACCTGCCCTAAGACACGTGGTCCTTCCTTTATAAGTCCATTATCTTCTGGGCAGCACCTGTGGTAGGGTGCCGGCCCCACATACCGAGGGTGGTGGGTGTGAACCTGGCCCCAGCCAAACTGCAACAAAAAACCCAAAAAATAGTTGGGCATTGTGGCAGGCACCTGTAGTCCCAGCTATTTGGGAGGCTGAGGCAAGAGAATTGCTTAAGTCCAAGAGTTGGAGGTTGCTGTGAGCTATGAGGCCAAGGCACTCTACCGAAGGCAATAGAGTAAGACTCTGTCTCTTGAAAAAAAAAAAAAAGTCCATGATCTTTAGCCAGAGAGATAGATTTGAGGCTTCTCCTATTTTCCTTAATAAGACATCTGTATGGCTCGGCGCCTGTGGCTCAAGTGGCTAAGGCGCCAGCCACATACACCTAAGGTGGTGGGTTCGAATCCAGCCTGGGGCCCGCCAAACAACACTGATGGCTGCAACCAAAAAAAAAAAAAAATAATAAAAATAGCTAGGTGTTGTGGCGGATGCCTTTGGTCCCTGCTACTTGGGAGGCGGAGGCAGGAAACTCACTTGAGTCCAGGGGTTGGAGGTTGCTGTGAGCTGTGATGCCACAGCACTCTACCCAGGGGGACAGGGTAGGCTCTGTCTAAAAAAAAAAAAAAAAAAAGACATCTGTAGTATTAAAAATTTCTTGGCAATCTTCATCGTCACAATTGGATCTCTGTGTGAGGAGCAGCTGGCTCTAGACTGAAACCCCCTTGGATTTTAACAGCACACCTAAGAAAACTCTCACATCTAGATCTGTTGAACTCCCAGTAGAAGAAAGGTAAAGATTACTATCTTAAAATCACATAGCCTGATTATTTCATGGTATACAAAAGGTACACACACATATGCAAGCCCTGCACCAATGACTACTTTCATACGTCAAACTCAAGTCACAAGTGAGTCCCAATGAAATGACTTCAGAATTATCTGGGAATGAGGTATATAAAAGAGGAGAAAAGACAAATCCATAAGATATCTTAAATGTAAACATCGAAAGCTCACTCACATCTACTGCTTGACTTGTAGTGAAAAAGTCAAACGAAGCTTGGCATAGGGATTTGTCGATGTTAACAGTAAGCCTGTTGGACGTGGTTGTTTTAAAGAATTTTCTGATCTTTGGTATGTATTTTTTTTAATTTAAAACTAATCCTGTGACAGATTATGATCTTTGGCATTTAATCCTTTTGAAATTAAGCTTAGAATGTCTTTAATATACAATGTTAAATAAGGATTTCCTACCACAAACTTTAAAAAGCAGAGTATAATAGTGTTTCAAAGAATCGTATGCGCTTTTGGCATTCATTTCCTCAAAGAATGACACACATTTAGGAGTTTTTTTAACAGAATTCTTATTCACTTAAAGGCATAAAAGTTCAAGCTGTGTTTTTCAAACACAAACACAGAATAAATGTTAATGAGATATTGCTAGAGACCAGCAGATGTCAACAGTAAGATGAATGACACAATTTTCAAAATCACAATAGTGTTCTTCTCACATGGGACGGACCCCTCCTCCTCCTTCCCTATTCTAGGGAAGCCAGTTTCCATCTGCTCACGCTTTAACAAGCATCCTCGCAGAGACCTGTATTTGGTCAGTTATAAGTGTCTTGAGCACTGGGCTCATTACCATTTTTTCTGAGAGAACAAGAAACATACTTGTTCAATTTGATTACAAGGAAATATGAATAAAAGTATTAACATTTTATAGATAATTATAGTAACCCTCCATAGTTGACTACCTCCCTACCCTGACCACCTCCTTAAGCTGACCTAATTTCCTTTTTTTTTTTTTTTGAAACAGAGCCTTAAGCTGCCATGGAGTGCCGTGACATCATAGCTCACAGCAACCTCCAACTCCTGGGCTCAAGCAATTCTCCTGCCTCCACCTCCCAAGTAGCTGGGACTACAGGCGCCCACCACAACACCTGGCTATCTTTTGGTTGCAGCCCTCACTGTTCTTTGGTGGGCCCAGGCTGGATTCGAATCCACCAGCTCAGGTATATGTGGCTGGTGCCTTAGCCGCTTAAGCCACAGGCGCTGAGCAGGTTGACCTAATTTTCATAGACCAGATAAGACACACGTCCTTCTCAGTACAGTAGGCCTGGTTCCTTATGGTGACCACCTCCACTGTTAACTAGTGTGTTACATACAGTCCCTTACGGGTCTATTCACGAAAGTTCTACCACATTAAGAATTGCTAGAATAGTATGTTATGTCCA